GGGTGGTACCCACGACGGAGCCGTGAGCTGGCGTGGGAGCCAGTCCCCAGGGCGACTCGAGCCCTGCCTCCCGTGCTCAGAGCCCCGAGTCAGCGTCCCCATGTGTACCAAGGTTGGTCTGTGTGGTCCACAGGGCGGAAGTGATGGATGCCACTTCGGAGATTAGGGTCTAAAATCGACTGGCTCCTACCGTGGCCTGCCGCCTCCCTTGCTCTCTCTCGCTCTAACCACTCTTTCTGGGGACAATCACCTGTCCTGTCGACCCTCATAAGGAAGCCTCATGAGAGGCCCTGGTGGTGAGACACCGAGGCCCCCTGCCTGCCCCATTTAGGGACTGAGGACTCAGGCAACAGCCCCAAGGGTGGAGTGGGTTAGAAGGGGATCCTCCCCTAGAGTGACTGTGGGTGATGGCAGCTCGGGGTTTGAGGGCTCCCTCATGAAAGACCTGAGCCACAGCCACTCGGCCAATCCTCTCCCAGATTCCTGCCCCCAGAAATGATGAGCTAATGCTCATTATTTTAAGCAAACACGTTTTGGAGAGATGAAGCGAGAAGTAACTAATACAGTTGAGAAGGAGGAGGGCATGCTGCGATGAGGAAAAGCCGCTGACTGACACCGTGTCTTACTTCACGTATGCACCTGCGTCACGCATGCCGCTGCGCTCCACAGGGACTACATATGTGGCAGTGGGCAGCAGGCTGAGCGTACGGCTATGTAAGCCACAGGCGACTCTGCCCAAGCTCGTCCAAGCAACTATCGTGTCAGCACGATGGAATCAGCGGGTTGTATAGTTCTTAGAATGTACCATTGTCAAGTGACACATGTCTGTGCATGTGTTTTACATATGTATGTGCACCTCACATACATACACAGTGTGTACTCTGATTATTTCCAGTGCTCTGTAATGGCTCAAGTCAGATGTCTGGCTCTGAAGAGGTAGGAGGATGAGGGTTCCCAGCCACCTGTAGGCCCACCAGGAGGAGGGGCACAGTAGGTGCTCCTGAGTATTGGAACTGCTTGAGCTGTCGTTTTCAAGCACACAGAACACAAGCCTCACTACTAGTAATTCGATGCAAACAGTCTACGGTGAGTATCCCCAGAAAGGATGTATCTTAAAACCTCTCTACGTGATTTGCTGATGCTATCGAAAATCCACTGGAGGGGTGCCAAGAATCTCATAGGTTCAGACTCCTTGAATCAGGTCAGCTCATAGTGCAATGTTTAAGGAAGCCAAATGCCACACGCTCTACTGTGGTTGGGATCCCAGCCCCAGAGGCTCAAAACACAGGCCAGGTGCATGTGCACGTGCACCCCAAGTCCCACCAGGATGAAGAAAGAGAAGGGATTTCAGCATGGCCACAGCCCACTGGGGGTGCTCCCCACCCTGTCTCTCTGTCTTTGTAGAGCACATGAACCCTCTGGCAATAAAAAATAATAATAAAATGAAAAAGAAAAAAAGTCTTCTGGAACCAAAAAGACTCATCTATCTTAACTGACTGATTTTTTTTTTGAGCCGTTTAAGAGTAAGCCAGAGGGGAAAGACCTATAGCGTGGATGTAAAATATCCAAGCATGTCTAACTGACTTTCTCATGTGGTGTCTACAAGAAATGCCACGGAGAAAATAAATCCTACTTTTGGTGACCTGGCCACCAGAGAACTTAATTACATGAAGGGTTCTTGGTCAGTTCAGCTCCAGGATTGGCTCCTGTCCCCTCTCAGGGGCCCAGGGTGTATGGGGGTTTGGGGGAGGCTGTGGCACACCAGTGGGGCATATGCCAGATCACATGTGGCAGAGCAGGGTCCTAAGACTCAGAGAATGAGAATAGAGGCCACGTTTCATACCTGCGCGTGTCTCTGTCCCCTGAAAGCACAAGTGTAACTTACGGAGTTCATGCTGCAGCTTGAAAATTAGGGAAGAGCTTTTCTCCTCACCCCTCTTCTCCGAGCTTTACTTGAGAAAATTTGTCCTTTGTGTTCTTTCTCTCTTTGGAATGTATGTAAATTCTTTTAAAAGCCAAATAAGGATTTTGCCAGCTTGGAGGACTTTCTCAAGGACTTATGTGCCATTTTTTGAAAGGGAAGATGCTGCCTCTCTCTCTCAATTTCAGGGAGAGGGTAGAAGCCTCTTCCTATTGCAAAACTAAGAAGTTTATTTTTCCTGTGGATAAGGCCAGCTAGCTAACAGAGCTGGCCGCCCGGTTCCCAGGTGGATGCTGTAGGTGAGCAGGTGTAACAGACAGTATTGTCAAGTCCCCTTCTTGAGGACTAGCTATCATTTCCCTCGAGGCTATGTATGCAGTGGTGGCTGTGCCCACTGGGGTTTAGAGAAAGCGAGGTTTCTGCTCTTGGACACACTTAGCAGACTGCAATGAGCAACACATTGGGGTTTACGTGTATTCAATGGAAAATCATGTCCTTTATGATTTTTGTGGATAAGTGTTCTGGGTAGGGGAGAGAGCTTTTCCCCCAGAGATTTTTGTTATAGGGTGTGAGCACTGAACAGAGACAGACAAAAAGAAACAAAGAAATCACACCCCCAGAGGGGATAGCCATGCTGCTATCCCTTCTCCTTCATTCTCCTCTCAAGATTTTGAATGCACACACACACCACACACACACACACCTGGTCCAAGTTTCAAGTTGCCAGGTCTAGGACTCGAACTGCAGTCAACTACGTGGGAGTCCAGCACCTTAACAACTACACCACCTGCTGGTGTTCTGGATATTTTATTTTTAAATGTATTTCCTCAACACCATTCAACTCTCCACCCCCATTGTGCTCCAAGACAGATCTTAAACCCCATGAGAACAAGGCCTCAATCTTTCTCTTCTGGGTCTTCCAAGTGTCTATGTGTTTACTGACACATAATGCACATCCAATGGGGTGTTATAAGCAGGTAATAACAAAGGAATTAATTAACAGATGGATGGATAGATGGATGGATGGAGAGTAAATGGCTAGGTGAGTGGGTGGATGGATAGATGGATGGATGCATAGGTGGATGGATGAATGAGTAGACAGATGGATAGTGGGTGGATGGATAGATGGATGGATGCATAGGTGGATGGATTAATGAGTAGACAGACGAATAGTGGATGGATGGATGGATGGATGGATAGATGGATAAGTAGATAGATACATTGATAGAGGGATGGAAAAATGGATGGATAGATGGATCTATGGATCCATTAATTGGAAATGCTTATCTTGGTGCCTATGTCATACTATATAGTTGAAAATTGCTGGATGGATGGAAGGAGGGAAAGGAAGGGAAAGAAGACCAACTGAATGAGCATGGTTCTCCACACATTACTATTAAGTGTGTATTGGTTGAAACAGCCAACATCATCTTAAAGTGACGAAGACCCACAGACGCCCAGTTCCTACCATTTCCACAGCTGTGCTCCTAAAAGCCAGCACTCCCCAGCCACCTTTAACTCCTCCAAGTCAGATTACTTTTGGAGGCAGGAGGGGCAGTATTGAGGTGTCCAGGATAATATTTTCCATTGAGATGATAAAGACTAAGCTTCTCTTTCCTTCTTACCTTTTTTCCTTCTGTGCCTTCTCTCCCTGGCTTTCCAGGGAGACCTTTGTCCCCTTTAAAACCTGGCAGACCAGGAAGGCCTGGGGGGCCTGGCGGGCAGTCATTGCACACATCCTAAGAGGAGAAAGAGGGAGAGGATAAATGCCTAACACAGTTATTTGCAAAGCAAAGTGTCCATGGCTCCTCGTTCTCCAGCTGATCATCTTGTTTTTAAATACCCACAAAGATGTTAAAGCAACTAGCTGAACCAAGTCATTACTTTTGTGTTAAAACTTTGCATTTTCATTCTCTTAACTGAAAATTAGACCTCAGTGCCGATATATCTGGATTATTATCCCATTTATCCCTACTTCTGCCATTCAGACTACTGGAAGTAGAGCCAAGAAAATGATATAAAAGATGTATAAAAAACCCTATGACATCTAAAAGCATAAACAGTGCAGACTTAATGAAAAATACAGTATTACTAAAGCAGCATGCTCCGTCCCTGATGTTAGAGATGAACAAAGCTGGAGGCTGTGCTGTGGCCTAGGCTGCATAGTCTCTGAACTAAGAGGCAGAAGGTGACATAAGCGTGTGCCTTTGGTCCCTGCTGTGTTGGCGCACACCCAAGCTCTGACAATGCCTGGCTTCCTTCTGTGCCCAAGGTAAGCATTCAATAAATGTTCCCTGGAGCAGAGCTTTGCTCTACTTCTTAGAGGCAGGCAAATGCCATCCCTGGAGCAAATATTTAAAGTTCTGTCAGCCCAGGGAATACATTTCCTGATTTGTCTGTGTCATCTCTAAACCTTACATTTGGGAGCACAGTACCAGAAAACTCCCTTGTGCATGCTCACCTATCTGACGAGTCCAGTCTCCTGGATCGCTTTCTTCGCTCCCTTCTCCCTAGCCCTCCTCTCTGCCTCCCCTCCTTTCTCCCATGATAATGGTTAAATGTGTAAACACTTAGAATAATGTTGAAATACATAGATAAGCAGGTAGAGGGACAAAGGCCAGAGGGTAGAGGATGAAGGTGGACAATGCCCAGTACGTTTACTTTTATATTCATTCACTTCTTCACTGACTCCTTCCTCCGTTGCAAAAATTCTCCCAAAGCATCTAATCCGTTAGGGTGTGTGTATGCTTGAGACCACAGTCAATGTGCATCTTTTTTTTTTTTTGGAGAGACGGTCGACTACGTGGGAGTCCAGCGACATAGGGGGGTGTGTATGCTTGAGACCACAGTCAGTGTGCATCTTGAAGAGTGCATGGATGATTGGTGTCAACAGAGACAAAATAAAAGCACTAACGGGCCTTTGGAATGCCCAGCCAGAGGGACCTGCAAAGGCCCATGGGAGCTGCATTTGTTCCTTGCGGTGAGGTAAGAAGAGGTGATATAGCATTCATCTTGGTTTCTATTTCAAAATGGTAGTCTGGGCATCACAAAAGCAACTGTGAATGGCTCACCTTCCTTTCACTTGAGCCTTCCTGATTGCCTTAGGAGTTGGGCAGGGTCTGAAGTGTCCATCTACCTCAGGAATTCCCACTACTGAGGTACCTGCCTCCCTATTAACATGATCTATCTGTAACTCCACCCTCCAATCTTCACAATGGGACCCATAGCATAAAGGAGTGATAGCCGAGTAATAGAAATCTCGCTGCCTTCTGATTCCTCTCATTTCCGTCAGAGCTCTCTGTCTGGGTCTGTCTTTACTGCAGACTGTGCAGGACTGCTCACTGAAGACCAGAGCTGTCAGCAGCCCCAGATGTGTTCGAGATGGGACGGGCTCCATGCACTGAGCCAGCCCAGGGATCCAGTGAGCGTAGGGCAGGGCCAGCCCCAAACCTGCCATCCTGCCAGTGCTCACTGTGGCCCCTGAGCTCCTGGAGCCTCCTGTCCTTCCTAACTGATGTGAAATGTAGGTGAAATTGCGGTGCCTGCACCCGGCATGCTGCAGACGTGCTGTGCGGATCTCCACGTGCTGCTTCCCTGCCAGTCCCATGTCCTTCGGTCTGGGAAGCTCAGCACACCTGGTTCCCTGTGCGACATCACGGGTGGTGTCACACTCGGTGTGGAACAGCAGACCCCGTAAGTGCCCACGAAACGTGGCCACGTGGCGGAGTGGCACAGACTGTGTGCACCCCGTGGGTCTTCTCATCCAACCTCTCTGGATATCTGGGTCCTCGCTACAATATTCCTACCAAAGGGCTGTATGGCTACACTATTCCTACATCTCCGAATTGTTAGGCGACAGGTGAGGACTCGCTAGCTGCCATCTTCAACAGAAAGCTGCCTGAGCATTCTGGCTCATACAAAGGAGGAGCTACCCAAGGGGGGTTACCTGGAAAGCTTTGGGCCTGGCCAGATGGCGCTGGAGAACCCTGGTCCAGCCACTATCCAGTTCTGTGGCCTTGAACAAGTGCCTTACATGTGCTTCAACCTCCCCTCAGGAAGCACAGGTTGGAATAGAGCCCACCCACCAGGTCGTGAGAACTAGATGTACTGTACTTATGCAGAAATGCTGTGGCACAAAAACTGCCTGAGGGGGCCTGAGGCAGGGCCCCGAAGATGGGCTTTCTCCCCAGGCAGTCTTCTGAGTACCAGAATGAAGTATGTTGATGCTATAAAACCCTCCGTGGCGGAGGTAAACGTTCTGTAATAAAAGCTGCCTTCTCAGCACGAAGGCACCTGTCCCCAGCCACTTCTCCGAGACCAGCCGGCCTTAAGCAACACCAGCAGGGCAGCAGCTGGCTGTGCACGCAGGAGCTAGGACAGTCGGTACCAAAGACCTGGCCACCCCAGGCCATGCCACTGCCCACAGGCTGCCCAGGCCAAGCACAGCTTCCTGGGGCCAGAGAGTGTCCATGGCCACGCTGAGCATGGGTCCCAGCTGCTCTTACGAAAACCGCTGCATCCCTTAGCAGCTGGGGAATATCGACGTGGCTAAGCCTCTGGATGCCGTGGGCATGACGCTTAGCCCTTGCAGTGCTCACTGCCATCACTATTGGCATAAAGATTGACACCTGGGGCTTGAGAGCTTCTGGGTGGGGGTGGCAGGGGCTGATGCAAACCCAGCTCCTCCTAGAGCTAGGGAATTATGGAAAACCATCGAGGTAATAAAGCCTGCAATAAACATGGGATTCAATCAATAGATAATAAATTTC